GTGTGTGTGTGTGTGTGTGTGTGTGTGTGTGTGTGTGTGTGTGTGTGATGGTTAAGGTGCCCTTGGCTTCGTGCAGCAGCTCAGCTCACACACCCCCTCTCTGAAGTGTGTGTTTGCAATGTGAAATAAAAAGCTCTAAGTGTGTCTGACTCTGCAGGAAGACTGAAATGAAGAACAAAAAGAAGAGAAATGGATTCTAAAGATTTTATTATCGCTCACGTCAAAGGAAAAAGGGCGATCGTGTATTTGTCTGCGCCTGTGTGTGTGTGTGTGTGACTGAAGCGTAAGCAAAGTCTCTCATTATTCAAAATGGCTGCTACAGCTACTTGATATTAGCCACCATGGAAACACATTATTATCTGTTCGGTTACTTAAAAAAAACATTTTCTCTTTGAAATCTGCTTAATCTCTCGCTGTATAATTGGTCTTCTTTGGCTACAAATATCTTGTAAATAGCCTTTTGCTACTTTTAGTTTTTAGCCAACTATTTGCTACGTTTAGCTTAACTATTCTTTTGATAGTTTAGCTTTTAGCTAGTCTTTTTCAACTTTTATATTATTTTGCTGCTTTTAGCTAGTGTTTTGCTAACCTTAGATTTTAGCTAGCCTTTTGGCACTTTCAGACTCTATATAGCTTTGCTATGTTTGGTTACAGTTGTACTACCTTTAGCTTCTGTGTAGTCTTCTACTACTTTAGCTTCCAGCTAGTCTTTTCCTATTTTTACCATCCATTTTACTACTTTATCTAGTCTTTTGCTACTTTTAGATTTTGGTTAGCCCTTTGCATTTTTTTTTGCTACTTTTAACTTTAACAACTCAAGAGTTTTTTCAGTAGGTTTCAGCATTCACTCTGTATTTTTTGCAAAAAATTAAAAAAAAATTCCTAGTTCTCCAAGAACTCCGTTTCAGCTCCTAGCTCCGTTCTTGTGCTAATTTTACCTACTGTTCTACTACTTTTGGCTAACCTTTTGCTGCTTTTAACTTTAACAGCTGTTTCAACTTTGTCAGCGGTCATTCCGCTCTCTTGAGTTTCCACAGAAAAAGGAAACTCTGAGCCGAAATGTGGCGGGCGATGTCCATTCTGAAGAAGTTTTAGGTTCTCAGATCTTGGGCGTTTTACAAACTAAGATTCTTTAAAACTATAAATTGGAATATGAACAAATGTCTCAGACCAGAGGCCCGGTCCAATCAGAAGGTCTTATTACAGACCAGGACACGGTGAACAGAACCGGCCGATACAGGATGCAGTAATGCGACATCATTATTAACAGATTCATTGTGTGAAAGCTTTTGAAGCATTCACACTATCGTGATCCATTTTTCCTTTGTGCAAATAAAAAAAAAAAGATCAGCTACTTTCAGCTGTTTTGTGCTCCATTCTGATTCTTTCTGCTAGCTACAACATTTGTGTGCTTCTTCTAACTTCTTTCTGCTAATTTCAGCTTGTTATGCTCCTTTCAGCCTATTTCTGCAAGTTTAAGCTTTTTTGGCTATTTCAGCTAATATTTAACTGTTTCATCTTCTAATTCCACAATTTTAGCACTCTTTTCAACTTTTTTCAGCCCAAGTCAACAAAATTGTGCTCTCTCCACTTCCTTCTGGCAATTTAAGCATATTTGTTTGTTTTTAGCTTTCAGCTCTTTTTTGGCAAATTTCAGCTTTTTTTTCCCCCCCTAGATAATTTCTACTTTTCTGTGCTCATTTCTGGTTCTTTCAACCTAATGGGGCACAAATGTGCTCTCTCCACTTCCTTCTGGTAATTTCGGCTTCTTTTTGCCTTTTTAGCTACTTTTCAGCTTTTTTTTTTTTTTTGATGAATTCAACAGTTCCATGATAATTTCTGCTACTTTAAACCTAATTAACTTCTTTCTGCTAGTTTCAGTTTGTTATGCCTCTTTCAGCTTATTTCTGCAGTTTCAGTTATTTCAGCTATCATTTAGCTGTTTTTATGCCAATTTCAGCTTTTTCTAGAAATTTTTCCACTCATTCAACTTTTTTCAGCCCAATTCAGCAAATATGTTCTCCCTCCACTTAATTACAGTAATTTAAGCTTTTTCCTGCTTTTATAGCTACTTTTCAGCTCGTTTTTTTTTTTTTTTGGTGTTAATTTCAGCTTTTTTTCAGACAATTCCTCCTTTATGGTTCTCATTTCGGCTTCTTTCAGCCTAATTGGACAAACGTGTGTTTTCTCCTGCTAATTTAAGTTTGTTCAAATAATTTCAGCTACATTTTAGCATGTTTTTTTAAGATAATTTTAGCTGTTTTTCAGCAAGTTCTTCTGTAATAAGCATTCTCACTGCATTTTCGCAGGAAATGTATTTTCTCTAGTTATAATTTGTTGATTAAAGCAGAGGCTGACGGTTATTTTCTGTGTAAAATAAATAAAAGCATTAAAAACGGAACATGGTGTCACATTTATTGGGTACAAATATTTAAATTAAACTCACAAAACTCTTAAAAAATTATTTTTCAAAACAAATTTAAAAGGTTTCTGATGAATAAAAAATGTTTCAATATCTGTTTTTAAACTAAAACAATCTGTTTGGGTCTACAGTTTTGTCTAGAACTGCACCAACAGAACTGGGTCGAGCCTCTAGATCTCCAGCAGAACAGGACCAGAGGGAGGTCCAGGTTCTGGTTCTCCAGCAGAACCGCCGGCTCAGTTCAGGAGTCCGTCTCGTTCTTCACGTCTCCGGTCAGGATGGTTCTGATCTCTTCCTGCATGAAGGCCCAGGGGACACTGGAGCCCATCAGGGGGCATTTGGACCCACTTGGGCAGTACACTTCCCCACCAGAACCCCCCTGAGCTTTGATGCTGTCTCTGGAGCAGGGGAAGCAGAACTTGTGGTCCAGAACCGATGGACACTGAACAAAGTGAGTGTCCTCCAAGCGCTGGTGGCAGATGGTGCAGCTCAGGGGTCCACTGTGGGCCGGGGGGGAGTCCGGGACGCTCTGGGGACGTCCCGGGTCGGAACCAGGAGACACTGGGCCATCAGTGGTGGAATGGACAAGGTCTTTAATGGGGGACTGTCCGCCCTGAGCAGCAGGGTTAGCAGGTGAGGTCCGGTCCAGGGGGGACAGCTTCAGGGTCTCGATCTGGTTGTCGACCCACTGCTGTCGGTTCTGGTCCTCTGTCAGTTTCAGACCCGAATCAGGGGAGGCCTTCCTCTTCCTCCCACCAGTCCTGGTGCTGCTGGACCCCCGGCCAAGCAGAACCAGTGGGGTGGGCAGCATTGGGTCAGTGTGAGGCTGGGGCAGTAGGTCATCTCTGACCCGGTCTCTGAAAACCCGCAGGGACTCCGGTAACAGGTCCCCCAGCAGGCGCCAGTCCCCAGAACCAGGCTTCATCTGGTATTCCAGGTACCGGAACCCAGAGGACAGACCCCTGCCAAAGTCCTTCATGCAGTCCTGGTACATCTGCTTGGCCACACCAGAGGCGCTGGAGAACACGGACCCAGAACCAGTCGGGTACTCGATGAAGATCTTCAGCTCGAAGTCCAGTCCGGTTTTGGACACAGCATCGAAGGTGAAGACCCGGCCCACCAGACCATGGTCCTTCTTGAACCGGACATCAAACGGGGTGGACCGAGACAGAACCAGCAGGGTGTCCCTGACAGGTTTGGGTCTGCTGGCCCACTCCTCCTGCCGGTTCCGGAGGCTCTCGTTCAGTTCGGTCAGAACCTCCGAGTTTCGCGGCTTCTCCTTCAGGTCCCGGTCCTGGTCCGTGCTGGACACGGAGGCGGGTCTCTTCCCGCCCGGATCATCGGAGTTCTGGGTGGAGGTTCGAGTCACTGGCGGCAGCAGGCTCGGCGGTACCGATCCCGACACCAAGCCCCCGTTTATCCTGCTCCGTGAGTTCGGACTGTGTCGGTTCTGGTCCGGGAGTCCATCTTCCGTTTTAAACCCTCTGTCGAACCGAGCCCGACCCTCCGCTCCATGCGGGTACCGGTCCAAACCCTGTCCTTCATCCTGGAGCTGGTTCGGCTGACCCGGAGGCTCCTTCCCGCTCAGAACCGCCTGGGTCTTCACGGGTCCGCCTTCGGGTGTTCGGTCCTCCTGGAAGCCGTGGGCCCGCTTCAGGTTCCGAGCGGTCTCGATGACGAACTCGACCCGGTCCGCGCCCTCGTAGTTAACGCAGCCGCGGCAGACCGGTTCGGTGAAGTCCCAGATCATGGCCCAGGACATCCGGGGCAGGTCGCACAGGTAGCAGGACCGCCTGCGAGACGGAGACATGTTCCGGTTCGACACGGAGAACCGAACCCAGAGAGGAGGACTGAGGTTCTTCCTCCTGCTGCAGAGGGGATGAAGAGGAGGGGGAGCTCAGAACCCCCTCCCCCTGACTCCCCCCCCCCCCCCCCCCCCCACCCCCCACCACCACCACCACACACACACGCATACACACCCTCTGAGCAGAACCCTGAGGTGTTCTGACCACAGAACTGGACCTCAGCTCTGCTCCTCCTGACCCTCCTCCTTTTTGGACCAGAACCTGAAACCGAACCTTGAGAACTGATGGAACTCACCTGGTCTTGTCTGGCCTGGGGTCACGGGGGCGTGTTTCCATGGAAACGGGGACCGCAGCCGCAGCAGCTCGGTGGTTTTGGTTCTCTGAAACAGAAAATGATCAGAACTTGTAAATTGTTCTGTGGTTCTCCAGAGATTCGGATATTCTCAGAAAAAAATAATCAGGATTTTTGACAAAAATACGTGAGGAGTTTATAAATAACTCGAAATTACAAACATCCTGGTTACCATGACAACGCCGCCTCCTTCCTCTCCGCAGCACCAACAAAAACCTGTCCGTGTTGCTGCATGGTGTTGTCATGGTAACGGCTCAGGTGACCTGCTGCAGACCATCATACAGAGACAGGGACGGTGCTGCCCTCTGCTGGCGGACACGTTCAGAACCACCCAGACCCATTTTATCCCGAAAAAAGCAGGTAAACATTCATTTCACAAAATAACAACTCTGGTACAAAATAAAAGCTTTATTGTCAAAATAAAACTTCGTTTCAATAAATAATAAAGACAACGGCCTGAGGAACAAATATAAACTCAGAACGTCCACTGAGATGAAGAACAGCCAGGCCTCAGGAGGCTGACTCACCTGCAGTTCTCAGGTCTGACGTCATGGGGGCGTGGTCTGTCACTATCCTGAGGGCGGACTCCAGCAGCTGGCTCTGATTGGATGAGGGGAGCCAAACATCAGTCAGATGGTGAAGACGTAGTAGCAGCATCTAATCAGATGAGTGTGTTTACCTGCAGCTGCAGCTGCTGTTTCTGCAACATCTCCAGCTGCTGCAGCGTCTGCTGGCTCAGGCTCCACCCCTCAGGTTCCCTGAGGTCAGAGGTCACAATTAGGTCATGGTGAGGTCACTGCCCAGGTAACACGTGGCTCACGTGTCACTTATCAACCCAAAACAAAAAAAACAATCACCAGAAAATTATTATAACACTTTCAGCAACTGGCAATTATTTTTTAACAAACGAACAAAAAACATCTGTATCAATGGCAACAACATTCAGACCATTGTCCGTATCCATGGAAACAACACAAACATCTAGACAATCATCTGTATCCATGGTAACAACACCAACATCCAGACAATCATCTGTATCCATGGGAACAACCACAACATCAAAACAATCATCTGTATCATAGTAACAACAGCAATATGTGTGTGTGACAGGTGTGCGTACCTGTTGTGTGTGACAGGTGCGCACATGTTGTGTGTGACAGGTGTGCGTACCTGTTGTGTGTGACAGGTGTGCGTACCTGTTGTGTGTGACAGGTGTGCACATGTTGTGTGTGACAGGTGTGCGTACATTTTGTTGTGACAGGTGTGCATACATGTTGTGTGTGACAGGTGTGCGTACATGTTGTGTGTGACAGGTGTGCGTACCTGTTGTTGTGACAGGTGTGCATACCTATTGTGTGACAGGTGTGCGTACATGTTGTGTGTGACAGGTGTGTGTACATGTTGTGTGTGACAGGTGTGTACATGTTGTTGTGACACGTGTGCATACCTGTTTTTGTTGTGACAGGTGTGCACACCTGTTGTTGTGACATGTGCGTACCTGTTGTTGTGACATGTGCGTACCTGTTGTTGTGACATGTGTGTACCTGTTGTTGTGACATGTGTGTACCTGTTGTTGTGACACGTGTGCGTAC